AACATGTACCCAGAAGGCCATGGGACCGTCCTCCGCAAGATCTAGAACATCTTTAAAAATGATCTATCCTCAAAACTGATCCTAGAGTTCTACGGTTTTTTCGAACACATGTGGAACTGCGATATAAGAAATATTTTGGGGTAATGACATAAATATGGACCCAAATGGCCATGGGGTCATCCTCTGGTAAGTCCAGAACATCCGTAAAAGAGGTTAATCAATGAAACTGATAATAGAGCTCCGCAGTTTTTTTCCAAAAAGATTAGGAACTGTGATATAAGAATGAATTTGTGATCGTGACTTTAACATGTACCTAGATAGCCATGGGACCGTCGTCCGGAAGATCAACAACATCCGTAAAATGGTCATCCATAAAATTTAGAGGTGGAAGCATTACTATGACGAGCACCTCAACAGTGATGCAGCAGAAAACGAAAGTGGCACGGCAACAGACCTTGGAGCACGTGCAGAAGACGACAAGCTACTGGCCCCTGATCTTTCAGAAGTTGAGGAGAAGATCGTTCGGTCGACTGAAGAACAACACAGCAACTGGTGTAGATCAACAACCAAGTGAGCTATTAAAATACGGTGGTGAAGCACTGGCTAGAGCGCTGTACTGGGTAATTGCCAAGATTTGGGAGGAGGGGATATTACCGGAGGAGTGAAGCAAGGTGTTGTATGCCCAATCTACAAAAAGGGCGAATAGTTGGATTGCTGCAACTACCGCGCAATCACACTGCTGAGCGCCGCTTACAAGGTACTCTCCCAAATTATACGCCGCCGCCTGTCACCATTTGCAAGAGATCTCTTGGGCAATACCAGCAGGGATTCATGGGTTCATATTCGCGATTCGGCAGGTTCTGCAGAAATACCACAAATACAACTTGCTTACACATCATTTGTTAATCGGTTTCAAATCCGCACACGACACAATCGATCGTGATCAGCTATGGCAGATTATGCACGAGTACGGATTTCCAGATAAACTGACGCGATTGGTCAAGGAAACAATGGATCGAGTGATGTGCGTTGTTCGAGTATCGGGGACACTCTCGAGTCCCTTTGAATCTCGAAGGGGGTTACGGCAAGGTGATGGACTTCCGTGTCTGTTATTCAAAATTGCGTTAGAATGTGTGATCAGAAAAGCAGGGATAAACACGAGTGGCACGATTTTCAGGAAGTTCATCCAGCTTCTCGGCTTCGCCGATGACATCGACATCATGGCACGGAACTTTGAGACGATGACGGAAACGTACATCATACTGAAGGCTGAAGCTAGGTTGATTGGACATGCCATCAACGCATCAAATACAAAATACACGAAAGGAAGAGGTTCTACGGAAGACAATATTAGCCACCCACCCCGAGTTCAGATTGACGGTGACGAAATCGAGGTGGTCGATAAGTTCGTGTATTTGGGCTGACTGGTGACCGTCGAAAATGATACCAGCAGAGAATTTTAAAAGATGCATTATGGCAGGGAATCGTGCCTACTGTGGACTCCGGAGGACGCTCCGGTCGAATAAAATTCGCCACGAAGTTGACTATCTAAAAGACGCTGATTAGACCGATGGTCGCCTACAGCCACGAGACCGTGACTATGCTCGAGGAGGACAAACGCACCCTTGGATAACGGAACGTGGAGGAAGCCAATGAACTAAGAATTGCACCAGCTGTTGGGAGAACCATCCATCGTTCACATTACAAAAATTGGGCGACTACGGTAGGCTGAGCATGTCGTAAGAATGTCGCACGACGACGCAGCGAAAATGGTTCTCAAAAGCGCCCCAACACGAACAAGAAGAAGAGGCGCGCAGCGGGCAAGGTGGATCGACCAAGTAGAAGGCGACCTGCGGACCCTTCGCAGACTACGAGGCCGGCAAAGTCTGGCCATGGATCGAGTAGAGTGGATACGACTTCTTCGGACAGCAGAGGACAACAAGGCCTTGGCCCGATTGCAAGCCATAAAATTGATCCAAGAACGAAAAACCGTGGAACTGTGATATTAGAATGAATTTGAAGTCTTAACATAAACATGGAACCGAATGACCATGGGACAGTCCTCCGGAAGATCCGTAAAAATTGTCCATCCATGATACTGTTTCTAGAGCTCCGTAGTTTTGTCGAAAACACTTCTAACTGTGATATATGAAAGGATTTAGGGTCGAGACATCAACATGAACCTGGATGGCCATTGAAACTTCCTCCAGAAGATCCTGATCATCCGTAAAAGTGGATCATCGATGAAACTGTGAAAATACCGTGGTTTTTTTTTCGAAAACTCTTGGAACTGCGATTTAAGATAGAATTTAGGGTCGTGACATAAACATGGATCCGGATAGCCATGAGACTGTCCTCCAAAAGATCCGGAACATCCGTAAATTTATCATACTGTGAAACTAATCCTAGAGCTCTGCAGTTCTTTTTTAAACACTGTGATATAAGAAACCTCTGGATCACTTTTACGGATGTTCCGTATCTTCCGGAGGACGGTCCTATGGCCATCCAGGTCCGTGTTTTTTTTTTATCTTTATTAAGGAGACTTTGAGCCCTGGGCTGGTTCGTCTCCGGTACGTGTTTATGTCATGACCCCGAATTCTTTCTTATATCACAGTTCCGCATGCTTTCGGAAAAACCGTAGAACTCTAGGATCAGTTTAAGGATTGACCATTTTTAAAGATGTTCTAGATCTTGCGGAGGATGATCCCATGGCCTTCTAGGTACATGTTTAAGTCACGACCGCAAATTAATTTATATACGACAGTTCCACGTGATTTCGAAAAAAACCGTGGAGCTCTAGGGTCAGTTTCATACAATGACCACTTTTACGGAATTTTCGGATCTTGCGAAGGACGGTCCGATGGCCATCTGGGTCCATGTTTATGTCACGATCCCAAATTCATTCTAATACCGTAGTTCCTAACGTTTTCAAGAAAACCACGGAGCTCTAGGATCAGTTTCGTGAATTTTCCACTTTCACGGATGTTCCGGATCTTTCGGAGGACGGTCCCATACCCATAAAGGTAAATGTTTATGTCACGACCCCAAATTCATTCTTTTATCTCAGTTCTTAGTGTTTTTTTCAAAAACTGCGGAGCTCTAGGATCATTTTCATTGATTGACCACTTTCACGGATGTTCCGGATCTTCCGGAGGATGGTCCTATGGACATCCTGGTTCATGTTTATGTCACATCCCCAAATTCTTTCTATCATCACAGTTCCTAATGTTTAGAAAAAAACGCGGACCTCTAAGATCAGGAGAGTGGATTCACCACTTTTACGGATGTTCCGGATCTTCCGGAGGACGGTCTCATGGTCATCAAGGTCCATGACCCAAATTCATTCTTATATCACAGATCCTAATGTAAAAAAAAACGCGTAGCTCTAGGATCAGTTTCATGGATTGTCCACTTTTACGGATGTTCCGGATCTTCCGGAGGACGGTCCCATGGCCATCCAAGTACATGTTTATGTCATGACCCCAAATATTTGTTTATATCACAGTTCCTAATGTTTTCAAAAAAACCGCAGAGTTCTAGGATCAGGATCATGGATTGACCATTTTTACGGATGTTCCGGATTTTTCGAGGGCCGTTCCGTTGTCTCCAGGATCCATATATAGGAACCATGACTGTTTTCTGGCTAATTGTGAACATTAGTGCCCATTAATGTAAATTACAGATCTTGCGCCACTTGCAAAACCCTACAAACACACCTTTCAAAAAAACGTGTAACAACTCTTTTCGCTTTTTTATAAAGTAGACGACTCTATTTTCAAGTTTTTTGCAATCAAAATCATCTAGAAACCCTAGGAGTTCTAAAGGTACAACAATTTTTGAAATTCATTAAGAATTGGCTAAGTTGTGCCATTGCAAACTTGCCGTTACACGTTTTTCGGAGGCTTCGTAGTCGGCGTTAAGTTTTTTACCCACCGTATTCGGAGTGTTAATCAATCTGAGTTTTTGATTTACAAAGTGAAATATATGATTATAACACGATTTGATATAATTTTGTAATAGCACAACAGAATTGTGTTGCAAAATTTGTTATGTTTTTGTTATGAAAGTAACATAGCGAAATATATTTTTGTTGTATCTAGAGGAAATTTTTGTTACATTTTTTGTTATTTTAACTACAACCGGAATCTTAAGTGTAACAAGCCGTGTTACAAATTATAGTAAAACAAAATAACACAAGCTGTAATAAACTTGTTATTCCCTTATGGTCGGGTAAGCATAACCGTAGCTCAACTATGAATCTTGGTTGATGTATAGAAGCGTTTTGAAGACATAGTTGGACTTGCATAACTAATGTTCTGCATGATTGATTTTTTCATGGCAAAAGTGAATAAATTATGGAGCAGTTTTTTGTGTGTGTCTCTGTTTCATAAATGGTTTATAATGAGGTCGGCCTCGGCGTATGGGTTAGCATCCATACCTCTCACGCTAAAGTTACGAGTTCAAATCTCATACAAGCCACGAATGACCAAAAATTTGAAGTTTTATTTTTTATAGCAATAAGACCATTTTATTATGTCATTAGAGTGGTTCATAAAATAGTTTTTTTGATTATTAAAAAAAAATATTACTTCTGAACTACTGCACCATTTTCAAAGATCAAATACCAAATGAAAGGTTGTTAATAATACTTATCAGAAGAAGAAAAAAATGATATTAAATAAATTGAGATTTTGAATTTAAAAACATTGAATAAATAAGTTTTTTTTTTAATGTCTTCACTATATTTTTTTTAAATTTTTCCTTGACAATAAAGGCTTTTTACACAACATTTAAAATATCATCAATGTGTTTCTTTTTTCTTTCCGTTTATGAGTAATATTTTTCGAAGTTATCAAGTTTTGGGTTGTCGCTCAGTACTCCTATGCGACTAGACTATCATGCGTCTCCATCGATTTATAGCAACTGTAACACATGAGCACTGCACTGAATTCTAACCTATAAAATATTATCAATAACAAAGCTACTTTCTTTTTTTGCAGATACCGGGATTACATTAATTGTGGTAAGTAAAACATATGTTGACCTTCGGATCATGATCTTGAACCATACAAATTAGATTAATTCTTCTTGCTGAAAAAACTGCAAGGTTTTAAAGCATTTCATATGATTATATACTAATGTTCCCTTTTCGGCATGTTCCGATTTTGTCAACACAAAAAAAGTTCAGAAAATTTGAAACATTTTAGCATTCAGGAAGACTTCAGCTTATTAAAAGGTCCAGAGCAGGGTTGCTAATGGTTAACGTCAGCGTTAACGTCTTCAATAGGAATTTTCATTGAACATGTTAACGGACGTTAAGGTGTTTAACAACCGTAGTCAAGAGCAGGGTCGCTTCCACTAACTTGCTATAAAAAAAATGTTTTTCTGAATTATAAAATCGTTAGATGTTATTATGATATTTTGTACATGTACGTTAACATAAGAGGTTGTGTTTGACACATGAAACCAGAAGCTTTGTCATCCCCAATCACGCCTGTTATGGATTTGAGCTAAACTCTTCCAGCGCGGGACGCATCAGCCCAAGCCAAACCATAGCTTATATTGAATCCCGAGCAAGGCCGGGCACACTCAGCTAGTAACTAAATAAAGCAGTAGGGCCCGGTGCACAGTGGGGCGACTCCATACAAAATCTGTGCAAGCAAATAATGCTCTAAATTAAAAAAAAATAATGGTTCTAGGGTAATTTTGGGGCGCTGAATTCATATATGCTTTCCATTATAACTTGTAATTTTGTATACGTTGTAACTGTGAATGATAGCCGGCGCCGGTGGTGTAGTGGTAAGCGTGACTGCTTTCTCACCCCAATGGGTCTGGGTTCAATCCCAGCCGAGGTCGGTGGGATTTTTCTGAGGCATAAATATCTCTGGTCACGTCTTCCTTCGGAAGGCAAGTAAAGCCGTTGGTCCCGGCCCATGTGTGTTGAATGGGTGCGATATCCTACGCAGGTGTGGAAGCTGCCTTCCTGCACATTCGATTGCCATTAATGGACGGCAATCGATGTCCGTCGGTGATTGGCACTAGATTGCGGAACAGAGACCGACGTTAAATAAAGGCAAGAAAAAAAATAACTGTTAATGATGGTTATGAAACAAGTCGTCATACAATGAAGATTTTTGTTTTTAAACAATGCTTAAAAACATATTATTTTATTTTTTGCTTAAAATATCCGTCACCATAAAGTAAAAAAACAACACAAATTATAAATCAAAACTTGTTGAATTTGTATTTTTCTCCTACTAAAACTTCTTCCTCATCATCACCATCATCATATTCTTCTTCTTCTTCTTCTTCTTCTTCTTCTTCTTCTTCTGCTTCTTCACCGTCATCATCATCCTCTGGAACCATATCGCTTGAGTCAGCCTTTGTCTTAATCAGAAATTTATCTTCCTCTGGTAGAATTTTAAAATTATGTTTTTCCTTCTCATAATAAAAGTTAACCATTAGATCGATATTGATAAGAAGGCGATTACTAATATCCCAATTTGTGTTTTCATGCTTGCCTTTCCTAGTGAAATGCTCTCTAGTGTTTTAATGACGTTGTTACATTTTTCTTGAGCCTCCTCCGTCATTCTTCCAATCGGCAATATCACCGCCTGAACAATGCTATGCCCGTGAATCGGAATTCTGTGCATCGACGACGGCATGTAAAATCACGCGTTCAACTCTACGTAGCACTTCGCAGTATCAACACAGTAAATTTTGAATTAAGCTGGATCTAGCTGGGAACAAGAAATTGCAATGAAAATGTTCCGAAGTCTTTTGATCAACTACAAATCTACTCCCGTGATTTTGGAGCTCATTTCAGGATTGGCAAAAAATCTACGAGCTGTATTGCCGTCATTGCTGTTCCCAAATCCTTCGGTTTGTCGACAATCAGACCGATTTTGTTCTAGAAGCCTGCCTGAATTCTTTTCTTGTTCGCCTCGAACTGCGTTTCAAAACCAGATTTTCTCCAGCGTTTGAAGCTCAGGTGATACGGAAAGTAAAATGCTCCTCCTTACCTTGTTGCAATCGGGGTACAATAATACTTTCTAGCAGCAGCATTAACCTTTCAATAGCCTGGAGATCAATCTTCACATTGCATTCTGTGACCAGAAATGCGTTTTGTGCGGGATAACATTCATTTTTCGCTCTGATATAATAAAATCATTGTATTTGGCATAAAAATTCCTTAGTTTAAACTTAATACCTGTCTTTTACTGGTTCCCTAATAATATTGTAACTATTTCTGGTCAGTTTTGCAATCACTAAAATGGACAACGCCGTCTCAGGTGTGATTTGAGTGTTTTGATTCTTGAGATCAATAGCCTGTTTAATTAAATTTGCTGCTCTGTAATTGTGGTCGACACGCAAAGCTTAATTGATTTGACGAATATTTTGATCTGATTTCCTCAGTACGGCGCCACTTCAATCGATCACTGCATTCTTCAAAAGCTTTTTCAGATTTTCCTAGCCGCCAAGGTGCATCAGATGGTGGTATTGCATATTCCTCTAACCAATCAAAATGTTCCTTGTCAAAGCGTCCGCTGGGATTGTAGAAATTTTCTGTTGAATGCATTCCATAAAATCTCAAACTCTTTATTCACATTCGAAGGACCCAACAAACAATTTTAGCTGCAGGTTAACTTATACAGGCAAAAATTAGCTGCATAAGGCAAATTTTGGCTGTATAAGCTAATCTGCAGCTAAAATTGTTTGTTGGGGAAAGCATTTTTCCGCTGCTGCTTTCATCTTTTCTAGCGATTCTTGATGTTTCATGTTTTGTAAAACTGTTTTCTTTTTAATCCGTTTCCTTTAGATTAAATGAAAACAAAACAATTGTTATATCGGTTTTGAAAAGATACTACGAAATGTTAGATCACTATTTCACGACATAAAACTCAGAGAAAATAACCACACAAAAAATCTTATTGTTACGGTACGGACGATCGCTCTCGTATAGACAGTGGTTATTCAGGGTTCATCGCAATTAATTTGTTCTCAAAACGGCAACTTACTTATATTTACATTATCCGTATCAATAGCAGGTTTGGTTTCCATAATTAATATGGATGATAACTGATATAACAATAACTTCAAACCGATAAAACGTATTTTTAAAATATATAGATAAACTGATGCTGATATCTTCTTACTGCTGCTGCTACTAGGTTTGGGAGGGAGATTAAGTGGTTCGCTAAAGAGTGTCGATCACTTTTCCTCATTCCTTTTACTAAAGACTCTCTGCCTTATCTCTGCTTGTTGAAAAAATAATAATGCAGATTGCAGATCAGTTTTGGTGCATATTGAATAATTTCTATTTTTCAAGATAAACAAAGTCAAATAGATCATATTCTAGCTCAGCAGTATGACAATTTTACGATTAAATTTACTTAAGGATATTTGACACAGGTCAAAACGGATCATAAACTGATCCAAGTTGGTATTCCATTTAAATATGTAGAAATTCAAGCATCAAAAGCAAAGGAATAATCTCGCATCTATATAGTAAAGGTTCCAAGTATTAAAAAGAAATATCAGGAAAAAATAAAATCAATTAAAGTTAAACAAACAAATATTCGGTAGATCAAAGATATTAAAACCTAGTTAAAAAGATGAAAATAGCCACTTCTAGCATATTAAGAGTAAGTCTAATCCCAAGTACACCAAAGCGGAGAAAAGCTTTTAATAATTTAAGAAATGCTTTGAGATTTTCCACAGGCAGAACTAAAAATACAAATTAGGTAATCGCAAACAAGAGTTAGCTCAAGCTATAAAAGACCATAAGAAAATAGAAATTATATGATTCTTTAAACAACTAAACGATTTTGACGCAGGAATGTGAATATAAAAAAAACATACAGTTATCTAAAAAACTTCTTAAAACAGAAGAACAACGAAGTGTCAAAAATTAGTACACGAGTATGGGATAATATTTTGAAGGATTGTCAAGGGCCAGAAAGAGTTTTTTGTAATAAACCCGGTTACGTTCCGTTACCAAACCCTCCTTTCTTAAATGAAATTAGATTTAAAATCAATACTTCTTGTAATGGAAAAACGCCCGGGCCATACCGAGTTTATTTAGAATATCTTAAAAATGCAGATCATTGCACGATAGAAGAGCTAGTAGAAATTATGAAGTTGGTATATAGATAAAACATAATGCCCAAAGACTGGAACAAATTGACGCAAATTCCCATTCCAAAAAAGGTAAGAAGCCGATCGTTTTCGTAGGATATCTCTTTGTAATTTGGTTTATAAAGTATATGCCTAATGGATAGGTAACCAGCGTCGAAAATTCACAGGAGATCCAGGGTTCCATCAAGCAGCATTTACAAGAAGTAGATCAACAGATGATCATATATTCATTGCTAGGCGAGTCATGGAATAATATTGGAATGCAGAAAAAGATCTTACTGTTTTAGCGCTGGATATCAGTAAGGCATTTGATACAGTAAATGCGCAGTGTTTAAGAGAAGTTTAACTAAATTTAAATGTTCCATCTAGATTATTTGACAGGGTGTTATTATATGTTAAGGATGAACTCACTAGAGTTTTAGGGCAAAACTAATTTTATAAAGGGTTGAAAAGTGGTAAGGGAATAAACAAGGATGTTCCCTCCACTTTTCAATTATTTAATACAAGATGTCCTTAAAAACATGGCAAGAGATATTCCTGAATTAGGTTTGATAGATTTAGATTGATTTAAACTGCAGATAATTTTAGCATTTGCCGATGACATACTAATAATAGCAAGAAGTATGAATGAGTTTGAGAATACTCTTTAAGTTCTAGAAGAGGAGCTATCCAAATTTAGTCTTAAAATCAATAGGGAGAAAGTCAAATTTTAGTTAGATACCCAAATGACACAGCAGTTAAGCCAAACGAATTAATGCTTAATAGAACTGCTTTTAAAACTAGTGAATATAGGCAAGTACGATAATATTACCACTTTTTTGCTTAATGAAATCTGTCTCATTGACAGCGCCGCTTTTATGAATGGAGTGGTTGATACTGTACCACGC